TCGTGGCCAGTACACCTCGTCCTCACCAGGTGTCGTCGTCCATTTGGAGGGGGTTTCGGGAGCTGACCCACAGATGGCGCGGTCGTCACTGCTCCGTGCTCGGACGCTGGATTTGGGTCCGTAACATGGAGGTAGTGTTGTACACAGGTTATGTAGGAATAATTTAGAAAGCTCTCTCTCTCATAGCACGGAAGAGGAAGTTGCAAAGTGCAAATGACTCTCTGTTGAGAGTCAGTTTGTTTGGAAAGACAGCGGGCACCACAGGAAGTGGGAGCCACCCAAAGAAGCATCAGCACGAATTCAATGAAGTCTGAGTGTCACGTCTCTTCGGAGGCGTGGGTTCGTATCCCACTGCTGCCACCACATGTTGTAACTCACATGTCTATATTGCTCAATATTATTGTATTATCAGTTATGTATTCATGTATGTACTAGACTTCTACGACGAGGCTACTATATTGTCAAAGAACACAGAGGGTAATGATGGCAACTCAGCTAGTTGTTAATCTAGCTGAGTTTTTATCAGATATTTGAACTAATAGATACAATAATTATCTGATAGAGGAGGTGGTGGAGAAAGGTGGGGAGGTGGTGGTGATGTGGGGGTTAGGTGGTGGTGGAGGGGAGCGAGAGGTGATGGTGGAGAGGGGGGGAGGTGGTGGTGGAGAGGGGGAGGTGGTGGTGATGAGGGGGCAGGTGGGGGGGTGGAAAGAGGCACTGGTGATGGTGAAGAGAAGAGATGGTGGTGGTTGAGAGGGCAGTGGTGGGGGAGGAGAGGTGGTGGTGGTGAACAGAGATGGTGGCGAGGGGAGGTAGTGGTGGTGGAGGAGAGGAGAGGTGGTGGTGTGGTTATCTTATCTTGAGGTTATCTTGAGTTGATTTCGGGGCTTTAATGTCCCCGCGGCCAGGTCCTTGACCAGGCCTCCACCCCCAGGAAGCAGCCCATGACAGCTGACTAACTCCCAGGTACCTATTTGCTGCTAGCTAACAGGGACAAAGGGTGAAAGAAACTCTGCCCATCGTTTCTCGCCAGCGTCCGGGATCGAACACAGGACCACAGGATCACGTGTGCAGTGTGCTGTCCGCTCGGCCGGCCGGCTCCCTGATTGCCGTAGTCTGATGGTGATGTCGTCATGGTGGTGTACCTTACATTTATGGGATACACCATCAAATATGGTGTAGTCATCTTATCATACAGAGATAATCAAAGTTAATGACCCTGCCAAGAGAGTAGCTGGAAGTAGACTGAAGGAGCGTTAACTCAAAGTAGACTGAGTAGATCACGATGGAGGCAGTTTATTGCAAGATAATCACATTAAAACAAATAGTTTTAGTGTAAACAAATTTCTTTACCGCATTACACCACACACATCACCAACCACCACCACCACCACCACCACCACCACAACTACCACTAAACACAACTTCCACCAATCACAACTTCCATTTAATATAAACTACCACATACCACAGCTTCCCTCAACCACCCACCAATCACAACTACCACTAACCACAACTACCACCAATCATATCTACCATTTACCACCCACCCCAAACTACCTCCTACCACCAACCTCAAATACCACTACCCACAACTACCACCTAACCATCCAATCACAACTAACACCAACTACAACTTCCACCAACTACCAACAACAACTACTATTTACCACCTGCCACAAACTACCTCATACCACCAACCGTAGATACCACCAACCACAACTACCACCTATCCCCTCTAACCACAACCATCACTACCACGACTTTCACCAGCCACGACTTCCACCAACCACAACTACCACAAACCATAACTACCATTTACCACCCACCCTAAACTATCTCCTACCACAAACTACAACTACCACCAACTGCAACTTCCACCAACTACTAACCACCACCAACCACAACTACCACCGACAACAACTTCCACCAACCTACCACAGCTACCCTTTACGACCAACCAAAAATTACCACCAACTGCAATTACCACACTCACCAACCACAACTACCACCAACCACCAACTACCACCTAGCCCCACATACCACCACCCTACGGCACCACAAAACAGCTCCATTACACTATGCCACAGCACCAAGACCACACTGCCACACCATACTACGACATGTTGGACAGTATACCAGAGCACCACACCACAATACCAGAGCACCACACCACAATACCAGAGCACCACACCACAATACCAGAGCACCACACCACAATACCAGAGCACCACACCACAATACCAGAGCACCACACCACAATACCAGAGCACCACACCACAATACCAGAGCACCACACCACAATACCACAGCACCACACCACAATACCACAGCACCACACCACAATACCAGAGCATCACACATTTCACATACTACAGCACTTCATAACACCACATGCTGCCACCCAACACGCAACACTACACTACTAGTCACCACAGCACCACATGGTGTCACCACCACACCACAGCATCACACCATGTAACCACCACACAACCACATCTCAGCACTCACCATGTAACCACCACATAACCACATATTAGCACCACACCATGTAACCACCACATAACCACATCTCAACACCACACCATGTAACCACCACATAACCACATCTCAACACCACACCATGTAACCACCACATAACCACATCTCAACACCACACCATGTAACCACCACATAACCACATCTCAGCACCACACCATGTAACCACCACACAACACATCTCAACACCACACCATGTAACCACCACACAACCACATCTCAACACCACACCATGTAACCACCACATAACCACATCTCAACACCACACCATGTAACCACCACATAACCACATCTCAACACCACACCATGTAACCACCACACAACCACATCTCAGCACTCACCATGTAACCACCACACAACACATCTCAACACCACACCATGTAACCACCACACAACCACATCTCAACACCACACCATGTAACCACCACATAACCACATCTCAACACCACACCATGTAACCACCACATAACCACATCTCAACACCACACCATGTAACCACCACATAACCACATCTCAACACCACACCATGTAACCACCACACAACCACATCTCAGCACCACACCATGTAACCACCACACAACACATCTCAACACCACACCATGTAACCACCACATAACCAAATCTCAACACCACACCATGTAACCACCACACAACCACATCTCAACACCACACCATGTAACCACCACACAACCACATCTCAGCACCACACCATGTAACCACCACACAACACATCTCAACACCACACCATGTAACCACCACATAACCACATCTCAACACCACACCATGTAACCACCACACAACCACATCTCAGCACCACACCATGTAACCACCACACAACACATCTCAACACCACACCATGTAACCACCACATAACCACATCTCAACACCACACCATGTAACCACCACATAACCACATCTCAACACCACACCATGTAACCACCACACAACCACATCTCAGCACCACACCATGTAACCACCACACAACACATCTCAACACCACACCATGTAACCACCACATAACCACATCTCAGCACCACACCATGTAACCACCACATAACCACATTTCAACACCACACCATGTAACCACCACACAACCACATCTCAGCACCACACCATGTAACCACATTTCAACACCACACCATAGCTCCATAACACCTCATCCCAGCACCAACACCACATTGCCACACAAACAAGCACACCATTAAACATCACATCACACAACACCACGAAACCAGAGCAGAATGCCACAACACGCCCCTACACACTAAACATATTGCTACACCATAGCACACCACAGTAACACATGACTTCTCCACACACTAAACATATTGCCACACCACCACACACCATAGTAACACATGACTTCTCCACACACTAAACATATTGCCACACCACCACACACCACAGTACCACATCACTTCTCCACACACTAAACATATTGCCACACCACCACACACCACAGTAACACATGACTTCAACACTCCAAAATAAAATGAAATATTTCCAGTTACTTTTGGACAGCTATAAAACAATTTTTACAACTCAAAATCATGTACTCTACAGAAAAAATACATAAATTTAATATTTAAATATGATAACAGCATTTGTTTGAGGATAAGAGTGTTATAAAATCAATATTAGCTAAAGAATAAGATCCCAGAACAATTGAATGTTTTACGAATGTTCCATATAGCTATCAAACACCTATAATTTAACAAATTTTATTCATAAAGAAAATACATATATTTAATATTAAACAAGTAAACATTATTTTTTAATATATAGGAGTAAATAGTGTTATAAAAGCATTTATTAGATAAATCATGAAAATTTTAATCCTGTCTGGGATTTAATCCTGTCCTGACGTTGGGCGCCTGACAGCTAGGTGGACAGCACCTCGGATTCGTAGTCCTGAGGTTCCGGGTTCGATCCCCGGTGGAGGCAGAGACAAATAGGCAAAATGTTTCTTTCACCCTGATGCCCCTGTTACCTAGCAGTAAATAGGTACCATGGAGTTAGACAGCTGCTACAGGCTGCTTCCTGGGGGTGGGGGGTTAACAAAAAGGAGGCCTGGTCGAGGACCGGGCCACGGGGATGCTATGCCCCGAAATCATCTCAAGATAAGCTGTCTTAGAAAAACTAAATGTTTTAAGAATGTTTCATCTAGTTATAAAACAACATTCACAATAGATTAATGTTTTTGGCGGAAAAATTAATAAAATCATAACAAAGTATTTTTTTAATATATAGGGGATGAAATAGTGTTAGAAAATCCAATATCAGCCAAATTATTTATAAATATTAATACTATTTTCCGATTATATGTTGCCCACATGTCTGTTGAACCTTTTTCACAACTTGGCATTCCCACAACCATCTGGAAACCTGAGGGGAAGTTGCAACACCGTTTGGTTTTGGTTGGGATACATTAAACTTTTTTCCATTTATAGCTAATAACTTACCTTTGGCGTGTGGATTGAACATCAAGAGGTGCACGGAGGCACTTCCAGCACTGTTTCCGAAGATGGTCACTCTCTCAGTGTCACCGCCAAAGTGAGCAATGTTGTCCCTAACCCAAGCGAGGGCGAGGGTCTGGTCCCTTAGCCCCAGGTTCCCTGGCAAAACCTCGTCCTCCGTCGACAGAAAACCTGAAATCCCAGAAAATCTAGACAGGTGTGATTGGGTCACTATAATAATATATTTCAGGATTACATACTAAAAACACTTAATTATTTCCTTTTATGTAAGTATTCAAAGAGAAGAAGCAATTATAATATGCCTTGTTACAGTGCCCTCTCTTATTTCTTTCGTTTGCCTGTTTTAAGAGTCATATCAGCTCTCCCTACTGATTCTCTGAGGTACAGGGAGTCTGTTGATATATGTGGCGACCAGACCGGCCGCCAGATAAGGGAGAAATTTACATTATAAGTTGTAGGTAAGGGGAAAGTGGCGCCCTGATATAAATAAAAGAGTATCCCCTACTGCAGATATGATGTTTTGTAAGGGACACAAGCCGATCGCGAATTGGCTGACTTAGGTCGTGGGCGACCAATCAGAGCCCGCTGTGACGTCACCTAGTGCCCCGGGCGGCGCCAACGTCAAAGTTGACCTGACTGTGGAGGTGAGAGGACGCGCCTCGGTCAGCTCTCGAGGATTTAAGGCTCTACAAGCCTTATTCAGTGGATTAAACTAGCCATCGCAGCCCACCATAAGTTATGGGAGACCATGTGCTTCTGGGAAGCAAAAAGGAACCAAGTTCATTGAGCAGAGGAGTGCCAAACTTGGAAAATAGTCAGCGACGACGCTGGGCGGCGCCACTGGACGTTGAGGTCTGGAAGGTGCGGCGGGCAGGCCTAGCTGTGACTGGGTCACATCCACTGAGGGTTTTGGAGGGATGACACCGTTCCTAGGACGAGGATCAACGCCTTGTGGAAGGGACGAGTGTGTGAATATAGTGATTAGCTCAGTGCTCATTGGTGAACCAGGATTGATAGCTGAATCTCTGGAATTGGAACGGCGACGACGTGAAGGCTTCACGTCACCTGAGAACCTGTGGAACGTTCCTGGATCGTCAAGGATCGACTCAGGAAGCGTGGGAACCTCACACCATCGAGGGACAGGCGTCGTGAGCCAGGAAAGTAAGGTAGATCAATTTTCCCTCCCAATACCCCTTGTTTGAGTAGGCTAGATAGGCCGCGATATTTACTTATGTATGTGGCAGTATGACATTAATACTTTAGTAGTAGAATAGGCTGCAGGGCAGCTTGTGTCCAGGACTGTTGGAGAGGACAGTGTGTGTGGACGGCAGGACAGCTGAAGAAGAGGTGCCGACGTGGTGAAGAGGCCCTTCTGTGAGTGTGTGTGACTCCTGTCTAATCTGCCCAGTTAAATGAGTGGTTGGAGGTCGTGAAAGAAGAGTTGTTGAAGATCTCCAGATTTATTATCCTTATTTTCATTTTCATGTATTGCTTGTGATTGTATGTGTGATCATGTAATTTGTGTCAGTAAATTCACACATTTTATCATTGTGTTTAAGTGTGCCTCCATTATAATATTTCTCTATGAGCATACACGAGGGTTATCATAGTACCACCTAGGGAACGTCGCGTTCTCTATAGAAGTTCTTATCGCCTGGAGAGTGGTAAAGTAGCACAGACTTATATAAGAGTGTACCCTTAGCCATCCGGCTAGTATCAGAGCCTGACTGGTGGCAACAGGTAACGTAGTGGCTGGAGAGAGGTAAAGCCACACAGACTTTTATGGGAGAGTACCCTGGGCCGACAGTCCAATAGCAGATCTATGGGAGTAACAACACTCTGGCAACAAACAGTATAGAATACACCCACTGAACTGCATGGCTGGGGTGCAGATATACTAACCCAGCTGGCGACCTTGTTAAGAAGAAGATAGAGAAGGCAAGCGGGAAAGAAGTTCCTGCAACCTTTTTGTCTGGCAGGCAAGACTCAGGGGAATTTATTGTTATAAGGTAAGCCTGAGTCTTCCTTCACTCCTCCGAGGGTCTAGGCCAGAACTGCTGATAGCAGTTTCCCCGTGGTTGACTGAAGGGCTTCCAGGGTGAATCAGTGGCACCCCCTTCAGTGGTGGAAGCAAAGACCTGCGGTGGTGGGAATTGCTGGTCCTCTCCTGTGGGACCAAGGAGACTCCGGTGAATCCCAGGAGTAGCAAGGGCTGTGTATTCTGCCTTCTGAGCCCCTAGCAGCCGAGTGCTAGCAGAGCCCTGGCCCCCCCCCCCCGTGACAGCCTTATATTTTGTACTTTCTTTGATATGTGATTCATTCGTTTATCCCAGGAATATATATATATAAGAAAAAAATATTATAAGAAATATCTACCCGAAACGCTGCGCGTACTAGTAGCTTTACAAGATTGTAATTACTATGCTATGTATCCTCACAATCCCAATGTACCTTCTTGTATATATATATAAATAAATAAATAAATAAATAAATAAATAAATAAATAAATATGCAATGCTTGTGTAAAATGTTTACTCATTGGGTTCCAAGTTAGTATCAGACGGTAAGTAATTATTAAAAGGAGGCACCATATCCTGAAAGACCAAATAACACTGTCATCGAATACTTAAAAGTTCTTAAATATCATTGAGAGTCAATACAGGAGTAAAAATGCATAAAACAAATGAAGTCAAAAGAATCATAGTCATCGAGGATTTTAACAAAGGCAATATCAATCAAAGGATAATTTGCGATGGTACTGGCAATCAGGGCTTTTTGGAAGTCTGCAGTAGTAAGCAAAACACAGCACACGTGAGGAACACAAATGCGAACAAGCCTGAATGGTCCCCAGGACTATATGCAACTGAAAACTCACACCCCAGAAGTGACTTGAACCCATACTGCCAGGAGCACTCTGCTGGCGTACAGGGTCCCTTAACTGCTCGACCAACATGACCGGACAAAAGAAGATGGTAGCCGAGGCTATTTCCATCACCCCGCAGACACTCGGTTGGTAATCTTGGGCATGGTATATTATCAAATCACCTCATTCTTTGGGGCACACGTGAGGAACACAAATGTGAAGAAGCCTGAATGGTCCCCAGGACTATATGCAACTGAAAACTCACACCCCAGAAGTGACCCGAATCCATACTGCCAGGAGCAATGCAACTGGTATCTACAGGACGCCTTAATCCGCTTGACCATCACGACCGGACAAAAGGAAGTAATAGCCGAAGCTATTTGAACCACTTCCCTGCCAGCACTCGGATGGTAATCTTGAACATAGCATTTTATCAAATCACCTCATTCTTTGGGGCCCATGTGAGAAACACAAAGGCGAACAAGCCTGAATGGTCCCCAGGACTATATGCGACTGAAAACTCACACCCCAGAAGTGACTCGAACCCATACTGCCAGGAGCAACGCCACTGGTATCTACAGGATGCCTTAATCCGCTTGACCATCACGACCGGACAAAAGGAAGTGATAGCCGAAGGTATTTGAACCACTTCCTCCCTGGCACTCGGAAGGTAATCTTGGGCATAGCATTTTATCAAATCACCTCATTCTTTGGGGCACACATGAGGAACACAAATGCGAACAAGCCTGAATGACCGTTCTCTTGACCATCACGACCATTCGGTCGTGATGGTCAAGGGGATTATGGCGTCCTGTAGATACCAGATGCGTTGCTCCTGGCAGTAGGGGTTCGAGTCCCTTCTGGGGTGTGAGTTTTCAGTCGCCTATAGTCCTTGTCCTAGTCCTAGACGATCATTGGTGCGGTGGTCACGGTACTGTGTACGTTTAGGGGTGATCCTGGACGTCATGGGTTCGAATCCTGGCCGGGTCAAAGAGTTCTTTGATATATATGGCTTGCGTGTTCATGCAGCTTTCTCACACACACACACACACACACACACACACACACACACACACACACACACACACACACACACATATATATATATATATATATATATATATATATATATATATATATATATGTATATATATATATATATATATATATATGTCGTACCTAGTAGCCAGAACGCACTTCTCAGCCTACTATGCAAGGCCCGATTTGCCTATTAGGCCAAGTTTTCATGAATTAATATATTTTCTCTATTTTTTTCTTATGAAATGATAAAGCTACCCATTTCATTATGTATGAGGTCAATTTTTTTTATTGGAGTTAAAATTAACGTAGATATATGACCGAACCTAACCAACCCTACCTAACCTAACCTAACCTATCATTATACGTCAGGTTAGGTTAGGTAGCCGAAAAAGTTAGGTTAGGTTAGGTTAGGTAGGTTAGGTAGTCGAAAAACAATTAATTCATGAAAACTTGGCTTGTTAGGCAAATCGAGCCTTGCATAATAGGCTGAGAAGTGCGTTCTGGCTACTAGGTACGACATATATACACATATATATATATATATATATATATATATATATATATATATATATATATATATATATATATATATATATATATATATATTTATATATATGTCGTACCTAGTAGCCAGAACGCACTTCTCAGCCTACTATGCAAGGCCCAATTTGCCTAATAAGCCAAGTTTTCATGAATTATTTGTTTTTCGACTACCTAACCTAAACTAACTTAACTTTTTCGGCTACCTAACCTAACCTAACCTATAAAGATAGGTTAGGTTAGGTTAGGTAGGGATGGTTAGGTTCGGTCATATATCTACGTTAATTTCAACTCCAATAAAAAAAAATTGACCTCGTACATAATGAAATAGGTAGCTTTATCATTCCATAAGAAAAAAATTAGAGAAAATATATTAATTCAGGATAACTTGGCTTATTGATGGTGCTTCTTGGAAGAGATGCACCATCTCTATGACTAGGCAGAGAGCGCAAAGCTGAGTTTCTGGCTTTACAACGCAGCCGAAGATATTATGTTTCTTGAGTGAATTTCAACTGGCTGTCTACTATGACTCCTAGGTATTGACAGTAGGCGACCCACTCAATTTCGTGTCCATGTATTGCGAGTCTGATATCTTGAGTTCTCATTTAAATAGCCATTGCTTTGGTTTTATTTATGTTTATTTTCACTGCAATGTGTTCCGCTTCCTTTTCTGATGATGCCTTGACATTTTTATGCATGGTTCCTGGCGCCTTTGCCATTGATGATGACCTCAAAGTCGTCTGCATAGTTAAGCAGATTGGCTTTTGGTAACTTGAGCTTCATGATTTCAAGCTCAAGTAACCCTTCCTCTTCAACTGTTTCATGAGACAGTGGGAGAGGAAGGGGCTTGTTATTCCTCCCTGTGGAGTCCCATTTTCCAGCCTCTTTGAGGAGGAAGTTTTTCCTTGGAATTTAAATTTAGCTTCTCTGCTAAGCAGACTTTCTTTAGCAAAGGCAAAAGCATGTCCTTATCCACCCTCTCCATGGTTTCCATATCCACCAGGCAGCACAGTGTAGCTGGATCAAAAGCTCGATGGGTTTTTCTAGGTCCTGAAAATTAAGGATTCCTGGTTTATCATTGATCTGACCCAGAAGGGACGAAAGGCATTGTGTGGTTCCACACCGTTTCTGTAACCAAACATATTTTGGTGCAGTGGTTTGGCTTTCCATTCAATTAATTTAGGAGCCATTCTTTCTGCAGTTTTGGCCAGACAGCCTGTTAATGAGATGGATCTAGGACTTTTTACGATTTTGGGTTTGGGAATGAGAACTATAATTGCACTATTCCAAGAGAGTGCTCGAGTTATTTTCACCCATACTTTGTAGATGAGATTCAAGAAAGCTTCTTAACCCTTTTCTCCTAGTTTGGCCAACATGTTGTAAGTGATTTTGTCCTCATCTGCAGCTGTGTTTTTATTTTTTTTTATAGTTCCTAGTTTTTTTCAGATTGAAAGGTTGGTCTAGTTCGTCAGGTCAGGCTAAAGCTTCGTCAATTTTTTTCCATCTTGCCACTTGAAATATTTGTTGGCGAGTCAGAATTGCTTGAGGAAATTGAGTGGAACTGGCTCTTGAAGCAAATAGATTTGCTAATCTTTCTGCTTCTTGCTCTGGATGAACATTATGGGGCAGAGCAGAAGGCGATTTTCCTTTTGCCCTCTTGATCTGCCTCCAGACTACCTTTGGCAATGGCAAGAGCATATTTTTTATTTCCTTATCAGGGCATGAACATGGCTTGAAATCGGAGAGCATTAAGACTTAACAATAACTAACTATAAATTGCAGACCTACTTCAAACATACTGGGAAAACATAATATATATTTTTACATTAATCTGCATTATAACAGGGCAGGAGGAGACAGCATGGTATGTCTCCTTTCACATCCTACCTTTGTTCACCTATCAAGTAATAGTAACCTGTTTGATAGTCAACTGATGTGGGTCGCCTACCAAGGAATAGTTAACATTGCTCACATTCGAGAAAAGCCAAATTCCCACGAACAAACCATGGAAACAAAAAGGAACAAGTCTGAAAGAGCCTTGTGCAGATTCCCTTATTCTCTGACCATGGCAGGGTGCATGATGAAGTAATAGTGGAGACAACAAACCATTAGAGGCTGGAACGAGGCGAGGTGGACTGACCGAGGACTCCCAGACGGTAGTGTATGGTGACGAGGACGACGTCCTGGGTGAGCAGAGGCATGTAGTGGTAGTTAGTAGCGCCTCCAGTCTGGAAGGCTCCCCCATGAATGTACACCATCACCGGTAGCTTGGCATCTCTCTCCTGAGTTATATACATTATACATATATATTAAAAGTGTACATTTGGTGTGGCTGCTCAGGAAATGCTCAGTGACAATCAAGTTAGCTTCATTTCAAATTTTTTTGTATAAAGTTAATAGATTATTCTATCAAGATGCACCGGTCAAGTGGCAGCAGTTCATGCCTGACCCACTACTCCACCTAGATAATGCTACATCAGTTTGACCAAATACTCTGTCTTTGTTGCGTTTTACATTAGTCAAAATGCAGTCTGAACAAATGTTTTGCTTTATGACCAAACCTAACCTAACTTACCTAACTGAACCTAACCTAAACTAACATATAACTAAATCAGAAATTCATGTTATTAACAATATTAATTCAAATAATAACAATAATTCAAATAATAATATTAATTCAAATAATAATATTAATTCAAATAATAATATTAATTCAAACAATAATATTCAGGTAAATAATATTATCAAATAAACCAATTACAAACAATTTGTAGAAAATAACGAAAATCACACTGCCTATTAGGCAAATCAGGCTTTGCATACTTGGCTCAGTATTGCGTTCTGGATATTTGGTACGACATACGTTTGTAAATATATGTATATAACTGAAAACTCACACCCCCAAAAGTGACTCAAACCCATACTGCCAGGAGCACTATGCAACTGGTGTATGGGGTACCTTATCCACTCGACCATCACGACCGGATGAGAGCTGATGGTAGCCGAGGCTATTTCCCCATCAGCCCGCCGGCACTCTGATGGTAATCTTGGGTATAGAATTTTATCAAATCACCTCATTCTTTGGGGCACACGTGAGGAACACAAATGCGAACAAGCCTGAATGGTCCCCAGGCATACATGCAACTGAAAACTCACACCCCAGAAGTGACTCGAACCCATACTGCCAGGAGCACTATACAGGCATACATGCAAGGTGCCACGTACACCAGTTGCATAGTGCTCCTGGCAGTATGGGTTCGAGTCACTTCTGGGGTGTGAGTTTTCAGTTGCATGCATGCAATAGAGTAACACATCTTATCATTTGTGTATGTTTCTAAACATATAAACATTAAACTATTACTGCAGTCAACGCAAAGAAAGGTAGTGTTCATTTCACTAAACTCCAAGGCGACTATGGCTTAGGATATGCCTATAACAATGTTAAGACACACAAACCAGGTAACCCACTACGCACAATAATCAGCCAAATACCAACTCCAACCTATCACCTGGCAAAAAGACTTAACGAACTCCAAACTCCATAACTCCAAGCAACTATAGTCTACAATCATCAGGAGATTTCCTAGAATTAATCAAAACTACACAGCCCGATGGAATCATTGTTTCCCTGGACGTCGAATCCCTATTTACCAACGTCCCAGTCGACACAACCATTGAGATGATACTGGACAGAGTATACAGAGAAGAGAGCACTACCCAAATTAGATATACTCGAGCCACACTTAAAGAGTCTTCTCGAGGCCTGTACAAAGAAAGGCCCTTTCATCAGTCCGCAAGAGACATGTATCTACAAATAGACGGAGTAGCAATGGGCTCCCCTTAGGAGTGTTATTTACTAGTTTTTATATGGGAACCATCGAAGACAGGATCTTCAGTAGCAGACAAAAACCAACTGTATACTGCCGAATATGTAGATGACATATTTGTCATAGTAAAAGACTCAGACGAGCTAATTGATCTAAAAAGCCATCTAGAGAGAGAGTCAGTATTCCGATTTTCACATGAAAATAGTGAAAATAACAGTCTGCCATTCTTGGATGTACTAATAACAAAAACAGGAACCTCTTTAAGTACCAACGTATATACAAAACGTACCAACATAGGAATATAAATGAAGGGGAAAGGTGAGTGCCCTCAAAGATACAAAACCAGTGTTCTTAATGCTTATATTCGTCGAGCGCTTATACACTGCTCCGAATGGAGCAATGTGAGTAGAGAGTTTGAAAGAATAACTCAGGTGTTGGTGAACAATGGATATAGCAACACGGAAATAATCACTGCTATAAGAAGACACCTGGACCGATGGTACAATCCTGAACCTAGAACAGAAACCACAACACCTCCAATAAAATTATACTACAAATCAACTATGCACAGTGAACATGAAAAAGAAGAAAGAATTATGAAGGAAATAATTCGTAAAGGAGTAAAAAGCACTATACCTAACCAAAACATAGACCTGATCATTTTCTATAAAACAAAGAAGACTACCGACCTCCTTATTAAAACAGCCCGAAGCCGACAGAGAACCCTTTACAGCAGTCAAGCGTTGTACACTTGTCCTCAAGAAGGATGTAACCTTCAATCTAAGTACATAAGTATAACGTCGACCAAGCTACCGAGGCATTTGACCTGTCACCTTCAATCCGGTGCCTCCAGGAATCACATGAGACAAACCCATGACAACACCCTAACCAGAGAAATGCTGAATAAAAACACTTGTATAATAGACAAAACCCAAGATGTAAGAAGATTACATTTCTTGAAGCAATCCACATAAGAATAGAACAACCTACCATGAATACCCAAATCACGGAACTATTTACTCGGCCCACCATGAGAGTAAGAACAAGACCGGAACATAACGATGCCAAAATAGAAGACACTACTCAACATAACAGGCCTATTACATCCGATTAATCTTTTTATGTGCTTCGTCCCCTATTATCCCCTATTTATTCTCTATTTATCCTCTATTTATCCCCTGACGTTTTCCTTTATTCTACTTGTTTCCTCACCTGACCCCATACTGGTATAAATCTAACGAGATCTGTAATTTCTTACAACTTGAGAATGAACCATGTAGGTTCAAAACGTTGTGCGATTTTATAATAAGTGTAATACATTCTTCAGTTAATCAATTCTTTTCTTCACCTTGAAAACAACATGACTTATGGTGCACTCTTCTTCCAGCTGATCCCTGATGCAAGAGCATTAGTTAGGAGGATAAAAGCCCTAAATCAGAAATACGGAATATGCTGTCTTATTCAATGAGACATGCATATATATATATATATATATATATATATATATATATATATATATATATATATATATATATATATATATATATATATATATATATATATATATATATATATATGGAGAGAGAGGGAGAGAGAACACACTAACGTGATGCATTAAATGAACAAATCCACAAGGGCCGTGACGAGGATTCGAACCTGCGTCCGGGAGCATCCCAGACACTGCCATAATCGACTGAGCTACGACAGGTTTAAAAGAGTTGAAACCAAAGTTCTACTGAACTTACTGGATCCCGTAGCCTCTCCGAGGCCAACCCGTTCTCGCAAATTTAATAAGTCAATATTGACTTATTAAATATGTGCATAGGTGACATACTTAACATAATAGTTTCCCTTGAAAAGCTTCATAGAAAACACCGACCTTACCTAACCTACTTAGTATGTTAAGATACGCATCTTATTGCTTCGTAATTACAATTATTACCTAACCTATAATAGGTATAGGTTAAGTAATAATTGTAATTACGAAGCAATAAGATGCTTATCTTAAGATACTAACAAGGTTAGGTAAGGTCGGTGTTTTCTATGAATCTTTTTAAGGGTATCTATTATGTTTAGTATATCACCTATGCACGTAGTTAATAAGTCAATATTGACTTTACGAATTTGCGAGAACGGGTTGCCGAGGCACAAACCAGGAATCTAGATAACTCTCTTTCACAATACTCACAATCTCTCTCTCTCTCTCTCTCTCTCTCTCTCTCTCTCTCTCTCTACTCTCTCTCTCTCCTCTCTCTCTCTCTTCTCTCTCTCTCTCCCTCTCTCTCTCTTCCCTCTCTCCCTCTCCCCCTCTCTCTCTCTCCCTCTCCCCCTCCCCCCTCTCCCCTCTCCCCGCCTCCTCTCTCCCCCTCTCTCCCTTTCTCCTCCCTCTTTCTCTCTCTCTCTCTCATCTCTCTCCTCCTCTCTCTCTTCTCTCTCTCTTCTCTCTCTCTCCCTCTTCTCTCTCTTCTCCTCTCCCCCTCTCTCCCTCTCCCCTCTCTCCCTCTCACCCTCTTCCCTCTCCCTCTCCCCCTCTCTCCTCTCCCCCCTCCCCCTCTCTCCCTCTCCCTTCTCCCTCTCGCTCTCTCTCCTCTCTCCCTCTCTCCTCTCTCCCCCCCCTCCTCCCTCTCTCCTCCCCCTCTCTCTCTCCTTCCCCTCTCCCCTCTCTTCCTCTCCCCTCCCCCTCCTCTCCTCTCCCCTCTCCCCTCTCTCTCCTCTCCTCCCACTCTCTTCCGCTCCCTCCCCCCCTCTCTCCCTCTCTCCTCTCCCCTCTCTCCCTCTCCCCTCTCTCCCTCTCCCCCTCTCTCCTCTCTCCTCTCTCCCCTCTCCCCTCTCTCCTCTCTCCTCTCCTCCCCTCTCCTCTCTCTCCTCTCCCCTCCCACTCTCCTCCTCTCCCCTCCCCCTCTCTCTCCTTCCCCTCTCCCTCTCTCTCTCCCCTCTCCCTTCTCCTCTCCTCCCCCTCTCTCTCCTCTCCCCTCCCCCTCTCTCCTCTCCCCTCCCCCTCTCTCTCCTTCCCCTCCCCCTCTCTCTCTCTTCTCCCCTCCCTCTTTCTCTCCTCTCCCCTCCCCCTCTCTCTCTCCCTCTCCCCTCACTCTTCTCCCTCTCTCCTCCCTCCCCTCCCTCTCTCTCCTCCCCTTCTCTCTCTCCTCAACTCCCTCTCTCTCTCCTCCCCTCCCTCTCCTCCCCTCTCTCTCCCTCTCCTTCTTCTCTCTTCCTCTTTCTTCTCTCGCCATCTCCTTCTCTCTCCCCCCTCTTTCCTCACACACACACACACACACACTGAACAAAAGGGCGTGGAGGAACTTCCGGAATAACAGAACACCAGAAAGCAGAGAGAGATACCAGAGAACCAGGAATAAGTATGTCAGGGTGAGAAGAGAAGCAGAGAATAGTTATGAAAATGATATAGCAAACAAAGCCAAGACCGAACCAAAGCTACTCCACAGTCACATCAGAAG